ATAAATCCTTGAAGAATACCAAATACAAGGAGCAAATTACTATAGACACTAGAATCAGTGAAACAATAAATCCTGGGAGTTCACAGCGGGTCAGACAGCATCCATTGGAGGGAGAACAAGCTAACGCTTCGGGTCTAGATGATTCTAGATCAGAACCTAAGTGAATTGTGGCCAGGACCGCATTTATGTTATAGTTTGGGGAGGGGGAGTATGGGGTTTGTGAGTGAGAGATGCTGGTAGAGAAAAAAATGTTGATTGTTCAGATTAATTGAACGGAATGTGAAAATGGCAGAACAACGGTGCGTCTCCTGCCTGACTTGAAAGGCAGACAGTCCCATTGGGATGGGGGAGGGGAGAGAAGACGTGATAAAAGAATGTAACAAGCTCAAAGAAAGGGATGAAATGGGTGTTGGTTCACAATTTGAAGGAGTGGAACTCAATATTAAGTCCAGAAGGCTGTAAAGTGCCTAGTCTTAAGATGAGATGTTGTTTCTCCAGTTAGTGCTGTGATTCACTGGAACACTGTAACATGCCTGGGATAGACACATGGGTATGCAAGCAGGACACTGATCTCCAACATTTGTTGTTTTCAGACGAATTACAAGAACTTCAGAGAGGAAAGAGTGTGGAGAGGGGTAGGATTTTCCAAGAACGGTGAGATTAAAGATTGCTTTGTTATAGGACAGGTGAGAAGGACATAACCAGAAGAGAGAGAGACAGAGCAAGTAACAATGTCCGCGAATTAACATGAGCAAGAGTGACAATGCGGAGAAGGAAGAGGAGGCAGACAAAGGCGAAGAGGAGGCGAGGGGAGCGAGAGAGCGAGAGAGGTGGAATGTCTGTCATTTAGTGAGAATAGGGTAAAAGGTCAAGATGAGCTCTGACATGGCTCGACAAGAGACAGGAAAAAGATGGAAGTTTAGGACGAAAATAAGGAGCAACATGTGAGGCAGTTTGGCTTGTGGGCTAGCAGAAGGGAGGGAAGCAGCAGAGGCAGCTGATCAGATTGTCTCAATCTTAGTGACAAAGAAATTCCATGTGCTATTCGCACTTGTTGGAGGGGAGGATGGAGGAGAAGGATGATGGACAGCCTTTTGGAAGAAAACAAAAACTGTGTTAGTGATATTTAAAAATGAGTGAACAAACCTGATTTATTTGACATTTATCCAGAAAATTAAAACATACAGCTGACGTCCGGGTTCGAATCCCACATCAACAAATAATGGAATTTGAATTCCATGTAAAAAATACTGGAATTAACACAATCTACTGATTGCCACTGAACCATTGCAATTGTCAGAAAAAATACCTGATGTCCTTCACGGAAGGAAATCTGCCAACCTCACTTGGGCTGGCCCACATGTGACCCCAGAGCCACAGCAACATGATTGACACTCAACTGCCCTCTGAAATTACCCAGCAAGCCACTCAGTTGTATTAATCACTGTGAAATTTCAACAATGGATGGAACACTTAGCACCTACCAAGGCACCAGAAAAGACAACCACAGAATCAGCCCTTTTGACACCACAAGGTCCTCCTTGCTCACATCTGGAGGCTAGTGCCAAAATTGGGAAAGCTATCTCACAGATCAGTAGTCAAGCAACAGCCTGATATAGTCATAAGCACGGAATCATACCTTACAATCAATGAACTAGACACCACATCACCATCCCTACATATGTCATATCCCATCAGCTTGATAGACCCAGCAGGGGTGGCAGCACAGTGGTGTACAGACAGGAAGGATTTGCCTTGGGGGTCCTCAACATTGACTCCAGACCCTATGAAGTCTCAAGGCTTCACGTTAAACATGGGCAAGGAAACCACCTGCTGATTGCCAAGTACTATACTCCCTCAGCTGATTATTAAGAACTGTTCCATGTTGAACAACACTTGGCTAAAGCACCGAGGGGCGTAATAGCACAAAATGTATTCTGGGTGGGAGGTTTCAATGTCCACCCCTAAAACTGGCCTAGCAGCAGTACTACTGATTGAGCTGGTTACTGCTCAACTGGGTGCGCAGCAGATGGTGAGGGAACGAACAAGAGAGAAAAACATACTTGACATAACCCTTCTTAATCGATCAGTCACAGATGCATCTATTGGTGATAGTATCGGTAAGAGTGACCACTGCATAGCCCTTGTGGAGACAAAGACACACCCTCACATGGAGAGTACCCTTAATTGGTTTTGAGTGGCACTATCACCATGCTAAATGGGATAAACTTTGAACAGATCTAGCAACTCAAGGCTGGGCATCCATGAGGTGCTGTAGGCTGTCAACAGCAGCAGAATTGTACTCCAGTATAATGTCAAATCTCATGGCACAGCATATCCCCCACTCACCCATTCCCATCAAGTCAGGGGATCAACCCTGGTTCAATGCATGGTACAGGAGGCATGCTAGTACAGCACCATGCATACGTAAAAGTGAGGTGCCAACCTGGTTAAGCTGCCAAACAGGACTATGTGCCTGACAAACAGCACAAGAAACAGAGTTATGTGATCCCACAACCAATGGATCAGATCTAAGCTCTGCAGTTCTGCCACATCCAGTCATGAATGGTGATAAACAATTAAACTCACTGGAAGAGGCACCACAAATTTCACCATCCTCCATGATGGAAGAGCTCAACACATCCATGCAAAAGGTAAAACTACAGCATTTGCAGCAATCTTCAGCCAGAAGTACCAAGTGGATGATCCATCTCAGGCTTCTTCAGTGGTCTCCAACATCACAGGTGTCAGTCTTCAGCCAATTCCATTCATTTCACATGATATCAAGAAACAGATGAAGGCACTGGAGAGTGCAAAGGTTATGGGCCCTGTCAATATTCTGGCATTAGTACTGATGACTTGTGTTCCAGGGCTGGCTGCCTGCGTGCCAAGCCAAGCCACTCCAGTCCCGCTGCAGCACTGGCATCTACTGACAACATGGAATATCGCCCAGGTATGTCCAGCTCAAAAACGCAGGGCAAATCCAACCCGGCCAATTACCATTCCATCAGTCTACTCTCCATCATCAGTCAAGTGACAGAAGGTGTCACCAAAAGTGCTACCAAGGAGTACCTGCTCAGTGATGCATAGTTTGGGTTCCACGAGGATCACTCGGATCCAGACCTGGATACAGACTTGATTCAGAAATTGACAAACAGCTGAATTCCAGATGTGAAATAAGACTAACAGTTCAGCACCAATAACACCTTGTTCCATTTCAGTGACATCACCCAACTCTACCCTAGTCTCAGCTCATCTGCTGCTAAAACTCTCATCCATTCCTTTATTACCACTAAACTTAAGTATCCGAACGCAATCCTGGCTAGTCTCCCACATTCAATCTCCCTGTAATCTCAAAAATATCTAAAACGCTGCTGCCCACCTGCTCACTTGTACCAAAACTTGTTCACACATCACCTACAAAGCCTCCTATTTATAAGCAACATATTGAAATTCTCACCCTTGATTTAATTCCTGGCTTTGATCATCCCTATCTCTCCACACAACTCAACCTTTGCGGCCTCATTTAGTTTCAGACTCCAACAATGCGTTTATTCATTTCTATTGATGGCTGTTTCTACAGTTGCCAAAGCAACACGGCCTGGAATTCCCATCCTAAACCTCTCAGGTTCCCTTTCCTCCTTGAAGATATTCCTGAAAACTTGCTGATTGGGCAATGCTTTTGGTCACCTGACCTAATATCTCCATCTGTGGCCTCATATCAAAAGTTCCTTCATAATATTTTTGTGAAATTATAAACATGACAAAAATACAAATTATTGTTGATTTGGATATATATCGTTAACTCTTCACTATTGCTGGGGGTATGACCCGTAACCCCTTACCTAACTGCCTTGCGAGAGGACCTTCACCATTCGAATTGCAGCAGTGCAAGAAGGTCAAACATCACTTCGTCACAGGCAACGAGGCTTTGGCAATGATTGCTAGTATCTGTGGGAGGAAGAAACGGAGTTAATGTTTCAGGGAGTGCAAAATAAATTGCAACAAATGAAAATGGTGCAGAAGAGAAATTGACTCTCTTTCTGGAAAAAAGAATTCCTGACTGTGAAATATATTGTGGGAAAATAAATCTGGTAAGACAACAGCATATGGTCAGGTTTGAGCAACAGTAGAAAACTCAGTTATAAAAGGTCTGTGAAAATAATAGTAAAATACTAAACAGAACTAAAATACATCCATTATTAGAGACTGAGGAAGACAGATCAGGGAGCACAAAGGTGAATCAGAGCAGTTATGAACATCCAGTCCTGAAAACGGGTAATACCCGAAACGTGGACGTCTCCTTTCCTCCACATGCTGCCTGGCTTGCTGTGTTCTTCTAGTCTCCTGTTTGTATAACTTGGATTGCAAAATCTAATATTTGACATAACCTTTAAAGCAATGCTTCCTACAGTGAGGCTGCAAAAGGTAACATGGAGCTCCGACCGAATTACAAGCATTTATCCTCAAGTACCTGAAGTGTATCAGCAGTAATTACGCCGTCTGAAGCCAGTTCTTTGCTTCAGTGCCCTGCCAGTTTCAAACGTCTCTCCCAGAATATACACACACTCAAGTTTGGAAAAGCAGTCCAGAAGAAATAAACACTTCTGCTGGTTTGAACATGCTCTGTGTACATCCTCCCCTTCTCGATCTCTGCCGGGAAAGGCTGCGTATGCTTCCCACTGCAGCTCGCCACCTACAAAGTTGGTGGAACATTGTTCCCAATAAAGACGGACGGACAGATGTACGTTGCTGCAAATTCGGGAGTCGGAGTTTCAAGTTTGTATATTCCGACGTGTACTAAATAGTAGTAAAACAACTCAATCCATACTCGCACCATTTCCCTCCCGCTTTCTGCTGATTTTCTTCGGTCCTGTGCCCTGCACCTTCCACACCGCCTCTTCCCCGTCCTCCAGCCTCCTATTGGTCATCAGCTGACATCAATCACCCGGGTCCTATTGCTGGTTGGAGCATGCACAGTGTTTCCTGTTTCTGCCGCAGTTCATCAGTTCTAGTACTAAGTCGCGACTGTTCATCCCGAGTTGGGGCAATAACAACAACAACTTGCGTTATGTGGAACTTTTCACATTCTCAAATCTCCCAAGATGCTTCACAGGTGATCGAAACATTGATGAAAGAGATCGATTTTGAAATATATTTTAAAGGATAGAGAGGTTTAAGGAGGGAACTCCAGAAGCTTGTGTCCTCGGAAGCTCCAATCGTGATGTTGGTGGGGTGGATTGAAAAGGGAACATAAAAAAAAGGAATTGCAAGAGCACAAAGAATGCATATGATCCTAAGGATAGACGAGGTTCCAGAGTCTGTCATTCAGAACGTGGCAGCCTCGTGGAGCTTGAAGCATGGCACTGCAATGGATCCATGCAAGCCATGACTAGAGCTAGGGGAATTCTGCTGTTTTAAACAGTGACAGAACTCGTACCCGTGAGTTTACAAAATGTCCCTCATCTCCACCTAACTGGTCTGGAGAATTGGGGAATGTGATGCTGCTTCAGGAGAGTGTACAGGAAGTGGGAATGCAACTCTCCCCCTTCTCACTGTTTTCATTCCCAAACTGAGGGAGTACCTGACACATCACCTATCTCCCACCACAACACCTTGCCCCACACAACCGGCGTCTGGTTGTGCAAAAGTAGAAATGATACAGTATTTACCAGGTCCCTCTGGGAATCTGAATCTCTGAGTGATAAGCAAAAATATCTGAGCAGTGAGAGGAGGGATTTGAGAAGCCTATCTTTAACTTACTAAAACCTGCAAACTGGAACTAGTCAAGTGTGTTTGCACATTGTGAGGGGGTGGGTGGTGAGTGAGCAAAATGCTCTGTTTCCTTTTTAAATAGACATTTTAAATGTCTGATTGGAACCACTTCTAATCCTTGTCCATTCTCTCATCCCAGTTCACCGTTTCACTGATTTCATGTTGCCAATTTATGAAGTAAGCAACAAGATAAGTTTCAAGGATAAGTTTCAATATTGAATTTGTTATGAGAAGCTAACGCTGATTGTCATTAGAATCTTGCATCTGCAGTACAGTAGATAAATAAAAATTTCAAAAACAGAAGTTTGGAGAAGAGTCAAGTTAGAGTTCTGGGATTTTAAATCGGGTTTGAAAAAGTTTTGTGCACAAAAAAGCTAAAGATAGATCTTGAAGTTGTTTTGTCAGCAACTAGAGAAATGTTGGTGAAATAAATGGCATCAAATGTAGCAGCCCTGATATGAGGAAAACAGAATAAGGATGAATATATAGAACATCACATAGTTAAGTGAGGTGAGCGTTGTTTATACAAATACAATCAGATAAGAGCAAGGATAAAAGAGACCCTCAAAAAATGTTGTGAAGAACAACCAGAATCAGAAGATAAAAATGCAAAAACTTGAACACACATACCAACAGGTTCAAAAGCAGTTTCTTCCCCACTGTGATTAGACTTTTGAATGGACCTCTCGAATTTCAAATCTAATGTTGATTTTGCTTTTTGTGCACTCTCTACAGCCATTGCTTCCACTATTCAATCACCATATGATCCCGTACTGCATGCAAACAAAACTTTTCACTGTACTTAGGTCCACGTGACAATAATAAATCAAATCAAAGACCGAAAGAGAAAGAACTTGAAGACCAAAGCTGGAAAATGTATGAGAAGTCCTTTTGGTGCTCTGTAATTATTGACATTAGCAGCATAACCCTCGTTCAACTGTAAACGGCTGTGTGTTTATCACCGTAGTTCGCCTGACAGCAAATAAACTTCCATTGACTTTGTCTCAAGAAAGTTGATAGTTGATTCACAACCCAGCTCTGCTGCCAAGCCTGCTCCTGCGTGAAAAGGGGTGTAGACCACAAAATAAGACAATGCTGGATGTCAAGCCAGGCTTGGTGGATGAATTATTGAATAGGAAAACTCACTGAATAGGAATCTAGAGCTACTCCTGAAAAGCTGTAACCTGCAAAAGGTGTTAGCCAGGAGGCTACAGAGAGAGGGAGGTACCAGCCGCCGACATGCTGCTGGGAATGCTTACCATAAAACTACTGATACACGGGGGAGAAAAAACAGCTTGTGAATTGAGAATGACCCGAGTCCAGGTGCTGGGCTGAGCCGATCGGAACCACTTGGTACGAACTAAGTTCTTCAAAAAGTGTTCTCCTGGCTCCAACATACTTTGTTGCCGTGACTCAGATCTGAAGGTGGATCTCTCGCTGAGTCAGCAGGAGACTCGGGTCGGACTGAACTGGAGCTCTGGGTTCAAGGGAAGACCACTATGTTAGTGGGAGACACAAGTACAGAGAGAACGGGAGCTTGGGGCCAGAGGGAAGATCTCTCCGTTGAGTCAGCAGGAGACTCGAGTCGGTCCGAACAGGAGCTTGGGGTTAATCCACTAGTTAAGCCACTAGTATACAATGACTAAACAATGGACTGACCTGATTGTATTTCTGGAGGAGCCCCGTCCATTCTCGGGAAGTGGCTGCAATATGCGGAATATGCAGGTCACACTAGGGACAAAGGGAAGTCCGCTGGGGAAGCTCTTTGGCAGGTTGCCCAAATGAAGATGTTGGACAGGAAGTTTAAAGTAGTACAGAAGGTGGTTGCGATTGGCTGTTTAATGAAGGAATGGATAGAATACCGTCAGCAAGTCATGTTAGAGAAGGTAAAGAGGGAAGGACTAGAAGAACAGAATAAGAGACTTCATGAGGAGGTAGCCCACCTTAGTGAAAAGGTAACCAAATCTGCAAGGACAGAGAAGTGAGGACTTGGTGCATATGAATCAGTACCAGATGCAGTGTGAGAAGCTGGTTAGGCAAAGGAGTAAGCAAGAGGGAGAAGTCTAAGCAGCTAAAGCTGAGGTGGAAGGATGGAAGGAAGAATGTAATGATTTAAAAGCTGCGATAAATGGGATTCAGAGAGCAGCTCAAGAGAAGAGGAGTAGTGCCGCTGATTGTACAGAATGTCACAGACAGATAGAGAAGCTGCAAAGTCAGCTAGCCGTGCAGAGAGGCATAATGTGCGCTTTCGCACCTGACAGAAGTGAGGAAGGCAGTGAAGGGGACATAGATTGGGACGATTTAGCAGACAAAGCGGCTAGCTACACAGTCATGATAATGGGGAGCCTCTACCAGAGGATTCACTGCCAGCTTTTGACCCAGGGACGGACTCGTCGGCTCCAAACTGAATGGCCCCCCTTGCAACCGCTAGAGGAGGATTAGGGGAAGATGGTTAAATGGTAGAGGATAGAATATTCCACCCCATTGGGGTACAGCAGTTGAGGGACATTGCGAAAGATACTGGGACGTGTACGCCTGAGGATGATCCTAGGGAGTTGTTCCAAATGGTCAGTCAACAAAGAGAGATACTTGGTTTCGATGATGTTGAGGAAAGGAAATCAATTATAATGTGCCTACACCCACATATATACTCCACCCTACCAGAGGAACAGAAATTGGGTACAGGCACAAATGAGACATTAAAAGACCAAAGTATTAATTCTCATCGGTGCTAACAGAAGGCACCAAGTACAGCCGCTGACAAAGTGCTATTAAAGGAAATGTAAACACTCCACTGCATTTGCAGCATGCCTTTGGGTGGTATTCCAGGGGGTCTACAGTTTAGTCTTGGATAGGAATGATTTCCAGCCAGTGGTGAGAAACCGATTGGTGAGAATGCTGGTGTCACATGGCACTGATGAGTGAAAGAGGGCATTACAGCAGTTTGATCCCACTGATGACATGCACACAGAAGCCTGGGTAAATCAGGAAGATGGTTGGAGCACAGGAAAAGGAAACAACAAAATCTCCCAAGACCTCTGGGGTAAGGATGACGCCTGTTAAATGGAGAAACGAAGGGGGAAGATCTACTCAGAGGCCACCCCACTCCAGCCTATCCGACAGTGGGAAGAGGTAGATGTAGAGGAACCATCTCGGGAACAGGAAAGACTCAAAGCTGGGTGCGCATGTGTTATAATTGTGGCCAGGAAGGCCATTTGGTTAGAGAACGCCCGAACCGAAGATGCGAGGGTGCAGGTCGGGGAGGAAGCAGAGCGTACCCGTGGAAGGACCAAGTAGACCCAACCCTCAGTACGATGTGACAGAGATATTACCATCTTCAGGGATTTACCCTGAACTTCAATGACGGCTGCAGGCTTCTCCGTTATGGGTATGTGATGCACAGTGGGATAAAACAGGGAGACCCCTAGTGAATGGTAGGGTTAGAGGTCGCCCTGATACATTCCTTTGGGACACTGGGGGATCCTGAACCACCGTCAATACTACCCATGTCAATGACACAAATTGGAAAATTCAAAGTAAAATCATCTTAAGCAGATTCACAGTACATTCACAAGTGGGACACGTGAACGTATAGTTGAAGGTTAGTGTGGAAGACATAGTATTAGAGCATTCAGTAGTCCTTATTAAACTACCTAGAGAACAAGAACATATCTTAGGGAGTGACTATATGGCCAAAACAGCACACTGTTTTGATCCCATTAATGGCATGATTTGGCAAATGCCTATAGGTTTGAGGAGAGAAAACTGCACACTGATCCCAGTGGGGGAATATCAGGACAGGATGCGCACAGTTGGAGAAATGTGGATAAAGCCAGGGGAGATGAGTGATGATCATGAAGATGACCAAGTGTTTGTATTCAGGGTTCAGACCCCAAACCACAAAGGCAGTAAGGTTTTCCAAAGCAGGTGGAAGAGGAGGTAGGGAAGGCAGTACAGAACCTGCTGCAGCAAGGGAAACTGAGACTGGTCGCTTCCACTAACAACTCGCCTATTTGGGAACTGGATGGTAGCTGGCGATTAACAATGGACTACCAAGCATTGAACAAGACCACCCTGTTAACAGCCCACACTGTAACGAATAGCCCAGAGATGGTTGTTAAGCAAAATGAGAATGCGCAGTGGTTCACGGTTTTGGACATAAGTAAGGGGCTTTGGTCAATCCCATTGGAGAAAGAGTGCCAATATAAACTCATGTTTACTTTCTGAGGCCAGGAATATACGTGGACCACCCTGCCACAAGCATTTCATAATTCCCCATCCATATTTCATCAACATCTAAGGGAAGAGTTAACAGGGCTCAAAGGGTTGACAGGTTCACTACAAAAGCAGCTCCGTTGATGAAGTTACTAAAAGACAATGTGGCCTGGGAGGTGAAACCAGAACACACACAGGCCATTGCATCTCTGAAACAGCACTAGCAACCGTTCCCGCTCTGAAAACCCCAAGTCCAAATATACCGTTTTCATTGGAGGTAGCCACCACAGGCACCACCCTCTCAGCAGTTCGGTTACAGGAGAGACATGGGAAATTAAGACCAGTAGCATACGCCTCACACATGCTCTCACCGGCACAGCAGGGTCTAATTCAATGTGTTTGTTGATGGAGTTGCAGTTGGAATATCGGACCTCCAGGAATTCCCCGGCGTGTCTGTGTTTGGCTTGTGCGATTACGGATGTATTGTCCCAGTCGAATTTGTGTCCCTCGCTGTCAGTGTGCAGTGAGACAAATGAGAATTCATCGTGTCTCTTGGTGGCAAGTTAGTGTTCATGTAACGGTATTGTCAATTTTCTTCCAGTTTGGCCTTCAAGTGTTTCTCACAGTCCTTGCATGATATTTTGCATATTACCCTAGTTTCGCTGGTTTTGGGTATGGGGTCCTTTATGTTCAGTTGCTGTCGTAGGGTCGTTGTCAGTTTGTGGGCTACTCTGATACACATTCGGACCAGATACTCAATTACACTAGCAACAACCCCAATGCCCACAAACAGAGCCACATCAGGACACTAGTTAAATGAGCCACAACACATTGCAGCAAAACAGAACAGGAACACCTTTACGCTCGGTTCGCAATAAACAACTGTACCTCCCAGTCGCAAACCGTTTCAACTTCCCCTCCCATTCCCCAGATGACATGTCCATCCTGGGCCTCCTCCAGTGCCACAACGATGCCACCTGAAGGTTGCAGGAACAGCAACTCATATTCCGCTTGGGTACCCTGCAGCCCAATGGTATCAATGTGGATTTCACAAGCTTCAAAATCTCCCCTCCCCCTACCGCATCCCAAAACCAGCCCAGCTCGTCCCCGCCTCCCTAACCTGTTCTTCCTCCCACCTATCCCCCCCTCCCCCCCCAAGCCCCACCCCCACCTCCTCCCTCCTTAGCCCCCCCCCCCCCCCCCCTTGACCTGTCCGTCCTCCCTGGACTGACCTATCCCCTCCCTAACTCCCCACCTACACTCACCTTTACTGGCTCCATCCCCGCCTCTTCGACCTGTCTGTTTCCTCTCCGCCTACCTTCTCCTCTATCCATCTTCTATCCTCCTCCCCCTCTCTCCCTATTTATTTCAGAAACCCCCTTCCCTCCCCCATTTCTGATGAAGGGTCTAGGCCCAAAACGTCAGCCATTTTGCTCCTATGATGCTGCTTGGCCTGCTGTGATCATCCAGCTCTGCACCTTGCTGTCCAGGAACACCTTTACGGAGTCTTCAAAAGGAATGGATACCCAAACAGCACAATTGCCATTACCTCCCAGACAGACCACAGCAGGAAGACACAACACAACCAGACTCACTAATAACCCTACCGCACGTCAAGGACATTTCAGAGATGACCACAAGACTACTGAGATCCCTAGGTTTCAGAGTAGCCCACAAACCGACAACCACCCTATGACAGCTACTGATGAATGTAAAGGATCCCATACCCAAAATCAGCAAAACTAGGATAATATACAAACTACCATGCAAGGACTGAGATAAACACTATATAGGCCAGACCGGAAGAAAATTGACAATACGGATACATGAACACCAACTTGCCACTAAGAGACAAGACCAGTTCTCACTTGTCTTACCGCACATGGTCAGCGATGGACATGAATTCGAATGGGACAGCACATCCATAATCACACAAGCCAAACAGATACACGCCAGGGAATTCCTGGAAGCCTGATATTCCAACTGGAACTCCATCAACAAACACATTGAATTAGACCCTGCGTACAAACCATTGAGAAACAAAACCAGAAATAATACCAACAATCCCAGCAAACCGAGGCATATAAATAACAAGCAGGACAGAACACCGACGCTTCACCGGAAGCGCACTGATGATGTTACCGAGCAGGGTGACGAAACGTTTGCAACCAAATCCACCGGCTCGGCAAGCATGTCTACAACCTCATCCACAACATGAGCTACATACCTTCTTGAAAACCTGAGATAGCAAAGGGTCCCAAGGGCCCATTTGTATCAAAACAAATGGGAGGGGTTAAGATGGGGCCCAAAAGCAAGGAGCCAAAGAAAAGGAAGAACCCCATTTCACACCTATTGTGGATTGTTCTTAGTCAGTACAGGACGAAGAAAGAAAAACTGGGTGCAGGATATACATAGAGGATGAGAATGGACAGGAAAGATATAGCGTGGCTCTAAATTTAGCCAGAACCACAAGTGTGCAGGCAACAGAGTTAACAACCATCACATATGTGGTTGGCCAATCAGAACAGTTCTATACTCTGACAGCATGTTTGTCTGTTATAGCCCCCCAGAATATTTGCCCCTATGGAAGGTGAGAGGTTTTGTCTCAGCAGACGGAAAGCCCCTTCCATCAGCTCCACTGTTACGATACATCTTTGAAGAAGTACAAGAGAAATGATATGGGGTCACGAAAGTAAAAGCTCTTTAAAACTATCTCCCAGGGGAACAAGAAGGCTGATGAGTTAGCCAAACAAGGAGCTGTAGAAGGGCAGGAATGGCGGCCACAAATTGAAGAACTCGGGGGCCAGCAGAAACAAGTCAAGGTAATGGATTTAGAACCGGAACAAAAGAAAGACAGAGAACTGAAAAAACTAATAAAAGGAGCAGAATCAGACACATATAAAGCACACAAGGGGGATCTTTGTTCAGGACAGAGTAGCTTTATATGAACGAAAATGTGCAGTGCCAGTGGGGGACGAAATCAAATAATTCACTGGCACCATGACTTATGGGGGCATAAAGAGGCGGAGAATGCCCCGGATAAGATAAAGGAAGTACACTGGTGGCCCGGAATGAAAAGTGATGTGGAACACTATGTTAAGAATTGTTTGATCTGCGCATAGCATAACACCGATACGAACGTTAAGAAAGGGGCACTCCAATATACTAGACCAGTACAAGGGCTATGGACTAATTCACAAATAGGCTATATAGGACCCCTACCCCCCATTCCAGGAGGATACAAGTACATTCTGGTAATAGTGGACACCTTTAATAAATGGGTGGAAGCTTTCCCAGCCACAACAAACACAGCCAGAAATACTGCAAAACTTTTGTTGGAACGGATATTCACTCATTAGGGTATACAGCGAAGCATAGAATCAGACCACGAAACACATTTTACAGCCCAAGTAATGCAAAATCTAATGACCCTTTTTGGGATCAGACAGAGAATCCACAAACCCTATCGACCACTGTCTAGTGAAATTGCAGAAAGGATGAATTGGACGCTGAAAAACATGAAAGCCAAAACAGTGCAGCAGCACAAGGAACCTGGTAGGTTGTTCTGCTTCTGTTGTTTCTGATATATTATATCAGAAAAAAAAGTTGGTGGAAACAGTAAAGGAAGCAAATTATATAGCAGCTCACCAATGGGAAGAAGCAGCAAAGTAAAGCTTATTTCAACACAAAAGCCAGCCCGATAGAGTTGAGTCCTGGACAATAGGTAATGATCTGAATACACCAGCCCATCTTATTCTTGAGCCCAAAGTTTGACGTCCCTAAGAGATAGTAGAGTGTAGAGCTGGATGAACACAGCAGGCCAAACAGCATCATAGGAGCAGGAAAGTTGACGTTTCGGGCCTAGACCCATTTTCTGAAGAAGGGTTTAGGCCCGAAACATCAGCTTTCCTGCTCCTATGATGCTGCTGGGCCTGCTGTGTTCATCCAGCTCTACACCTTGTTATCTCAGACTCTCCAGCATCTGCAGTTCCTACTATCTATGAGATAGTAGCTAGGGCTGGCCCATCCGTATAAGATATATGGTATGCGCCAGCTAAGACTACCTGGTATCACATCAGTCAGTCAGTAGGAGAGAAACAAGATTGCCATAATTGGCATGTGATGCTCAATGCTAACAACGTTCCAAGATCTCAATGTCAGAGACAGCAAGACAGAACCAGTTACAAGTATCTGAAGAGATAACTAGAACGCAACCTGATATTGGCCGTCCACGTATAAAGGACGTCCAAGGAAAATAACAAAAGATGAAGGAAAAGGGTAGAGGAAGTAAGTGGATCAGACGAAATGGATGGTTTAGAATCCGAAACAGATTGTCTATCCCCTGTTCCCAATCTGACTCAGAGTATGGAGAACCTGAGCTTATAGTAGTGATAAGAAAGAAGCTATAAATAAGAGCAGAAAAAGCATTTGTATATTACAGGTCTAACCTAGGATGAGGGTAGTAATACATTTTGTCGCTACCGGGCTGATCATGCTTGGAACCAAGGTTGAACCGGCATTGGGGTCATCACGATGAGTGAATTGAGCAGTGTCAATGCTGGAAGAATATCCCGTGATCAAGAACAACTCTAGTCCGCAGCAAAAGACAGTACGAACTAATAAAGGAAGCAGAGGGGACTTAAATTTGTATTACATGGGAGCGAATGGGTTGGCATGTGAGAGAAAGACGTTGGGGAAGAAACAGGGGTACAATTCTCATACAACAGAGTTCTGGAGATGACATGGGCGGTAATCCCAGAAGGACAAATTACTCATCAATTTATAGGTCCATTTATTCAACAACCACCAGGGAACGACAGTCAAGGTAGAATTATGGTTCACTGGGACCACACCTTTGTGAATATAGACTGGGGTAGTGATGCATACAAAAAAGTATATTGACTGGGGTGGCAAGGCAATTCAAGAAAATTGGTTAGATCATCATCAGTTGTACAAAGGAATGACATGGTACAGGAGGGGAATAGAGAAAAAAGGGCGTTGAAAGATGCAGACAGGGGTTTTTGTCTGGGGCCAGGGCCCTTCATAATTTTCAGGACCCGTAAGAAGCTTATTACCCAATGTGCCCCAGTGATTAAAACCAAACCAGAACCTAGGAGTTGTGAGTCTCAGTAGAGGATGGAAAGTGTGGGTCTGGTGCTCAACAAGGCAGGAGAATCTGTCACTTTGGTACCAGGATATTGGCATGTCCGGGTAGTCTTTAATTTAACTGAAATGACCGCTCTAGAATAGTGCCCTTCCACCACAAAACAATTATTTATCCACCTCCTTAACGAACAATTGAGCAGGAATGATCCTTAAGTCCAACAAGAATATAAAGAAATGAGGACTGTTGGAGTTGGCAGGGGCAGGATATGCATCAGGAGTGGCAACCATCAACACCTTGGACATAGCAGATTTAGAAAGTCAGATGCAATCCCTCCAGCAGAAAATGCAGGTCATTACTGGGGAAGGTTACTTAGACCAGATACAGACCAACCAGATGGGTCAGGATGCTTCAGAAATGACCCTGGACACAGTTAACATTCTAAAGCGTTTACAGGACACAACAAATTTAATCGTTGATTGTACGCCCAATACTTCTGAGGAGGCCCATATGGCCGGAGGTGTGTGCCATATACACTAGCTGGGTGTTGATTATGATTGGGACTAATTTGTTACAGCTGCATGCTCACCAAATTCCACACTGGGTGTCGGATGAACAATTAATAAAGTGAGTTGAAGAAAAGGAGCCTCTCTGTCACCTCAGGAGTTTGACCTTATCTAATAGAATGTTACAATGATAAAGGGAAATATTATGTTGGGGCAGTGTTTCATACTCCCTGACACGGAAATAATCTGACCTACCCTTTAACAAGAGTTCATAATGTGGGAAAATACCATGAAGGTACTTGGATATCTTTAAGTAACCCACCATTTCATGCTATTGTAAAGGATGGTGCGGAGAGGGGTAGATTTGTCCAAATGCCACCAAGGGGGAATCACTGTTGTTCTGATGAGATAACGAGACAGAGACTTACGGATTGTGGTTTCAGCACCTGTGAAAATTGCACATTGGTTATTCTACTTGTGAATAACCAGTCCTTTTTACAATATGCCCTTGTGGGGCAAACATATGACATAGACACAGCAGCTATGGATTATACCAAGGGATGGAGACAGTGCCGTTTGGATGGACAAAGTAGCTATCAACAATATCACCTCTGGTTTGATGATTGGTGGACAAGCGCTGCCTCAGCCAATAACCAGGGTGGTGATTAGAGAAAACCTCATGATCCAAAGTACAGATACGAACCAAGACATACAGAGGTATGTTGCTACTGAACGACTACCCATTCTGCACCTGATAGCAGATCGGACATGTATAGTGGGAGAGGCAAAAGAAGTAATTCATCGGTAGACCAAACACACTAAAACAATTAGAACTCATGCTGAAAAAGCAAAGGATAGGTTCTGGAATTGGGGAACCAATGTTCAAATACATCGATGGATCAGAATTCTGTTGCATGCTGCTACAGCAGTGATTCTATGTACATTAGTAAGCGTCATACTCAATGTATGTCACCTTAGAAGGTGACTAAAAGTCAAAATTATACAAAGATTGGAAATGGAGGCTGTAATAAAACAGAAGGAACATTTTGGAAGCACTGTGTAAATTAAGTTATGTACACGTTTCTCACATATGCTTCTTTTCTATATGCACTTCATAGAAACACACTGTTCATATGTACGTTTTTATACACATTCTATCATTGCAGTATGACACTGTAGATGTGATACGCCCACTCTGACTCACTAACAATCCTAGGAGTGGTCCACAGAAGAAGACAGAGAATGATCCTAAGATAAGTATCTTTGGGGCGGTTGGTGGGGGGGGGGGATGTTAGCCATGCAACGGCAGAGAGCGAGAGAGAGCGCGCGAGACAGAGAGCGAGAGAGAGAAAGCGAGAGAGAAAGAGAGCGAGAGAGAAGTACCAGCTGCCGACATGCTGCTGGAAATGCTCAGTATAAAACTACTGACAAACACAGGGAAAAAAAAACTTGTAAATTGAGAACGACCAGAGTCCAAGTGCTTGCCTGAGCTGATCAGAACCACTTGGTACCAACCAGGTTCTGCAAAAAGTAAGAAAGATGAGGAAATGCAGAAGCCTTATTTGGACCAGGAGCAGTGAGGTAATGATACCCAATTCTCTGTTCCAGGGCCAATAAGGTAAAAGCATGCGATAAGCAGACAAGCCTCAGCCAATGGGAAGGAAACAGCACAACGCGAGAGAGATAAGACAAAGGATAAAAAGACGACTGTCAGGGCATGCAGTCAGCGAAAACTCCGGAGACTGACCATTGCAGAAGCAGACCCTACGTCAAGGACATGATCATGATGACGACGACGACGACGACGACGACGACGTCGAGTGCAACATCTGTCCAGCATCAGGCCTCATAAGCAGCAGCTATCCTCATTGGGTATTAGCTTTCATATTCTGTGATTACTCGGGGAGTGTCAGAGGACCCTAGTGGGTGTAGAAATAGGTTCTAGTTCAGTTTGTGGGAGAATATGTAAGGTCTAGCTTGTAATAAAATATATAAGCAACATGTGCCTTGCTTAACACATTAATAAAGTAATTTGTGAGGTTACGAGAATTGACTCTTCTGTCTGTATAAGCTGATAACCAGAACCGGTGTTCTCCAGACTCCAACAAACGCTACAGATGGTGCTGGTGAGTGGGTTTTGAGTGGGTTGCTAGTTTATTCAGCCAGCACACACGCCTGTTTCTGTGCAGTAACATTCCTCTTGTCCTATCGAGAGGAAATGGAGAAAGAAAGGGCTCAGGCAAGGAAATATCTGAGAAACAGGTTGGCCCAGTGGGCAATTGTTTGGGAGGGAAGCAGCTGATTGGATTTTCTCAATCTTAGTGACAAAGAATCTCCATCAGCTCCTTGCATTTATTGGGAGAACATTTCAAATTAGATCTTAAAACGACCCTGGTTTAACAAAAGGTTGATTTATTTTACTTTATCCAGTGTATTAACACCAACACCTGGGCTGGAGGTTATTGACATCAGACCCAGTCAATATAGTTCAACCCTTGGTGAAATAAACAGCAAAACTGAATTGCTGCAGTTACTGGTGAACTCGCTGGTGTTTCAGGAGGGTAGATGAAGTCTTGAATGCTTTCTCACACTGGGAGCAGGTGAACGGCCTCTCCCCAGTGTGAACTCGCTGGTGTGCCAGCAATGCAGATAACTGAACGAATCTGTTCCCACACTCAGGGCAGCTGAATGGTCTCTCCCCAGTGTGAACTCGCTGGTGTGACCTCAGAGTGGATGACTGAGTGAATGCCTTCCCACAAGTGGAGCAGGCAAATGGCTTCTCTCCAGTGTGAATGCGCTGGTGTGTCAGCAGTGCAGATGACTGAGTGAACCCCTTCCCACACTCGGGGCAGCTGAATGGTCTCTCCCCAGTGTGCACTCGCTGGTGGACGGTCAGCTGCTCGGACTGTTTGAATGCAGAGCCGCAGTAAGAGCACCGGTATGGTTTCTCCTCAGTGTGAATACGTTGATGGCGCACTAGGTCCCCAGAATATTTAAAGCACTTCCCACATTCCAGACAGTGAAAAGGTCTCTCCTCAGTGTGAACTCGCTGGTGTTTTTGCAAGTCAGCAAACTGAGTGAAACCCTTCTCACATCTGGAGCAGGTGAATGGTCTCTCCCCCGTGTGAATCCGTTGGTGTTGTTGCAGCCCTGATGAGCGAGTGAATCCCTTTCCACACTCGGGGCAGGAGAATGGTCTCTCCCCCGTGTGAATTCGCTGGTGTCTCAGCATATCGGCTGAGTGAATGAATCCTTTCCCACACTTAGGGCAGGAGAATGGCCTCTCTCCAGAGTGAACTCGCTGGTGTCTCAGCAGGTTGGATGAGCGAACAAATCCTTTCCCACACTCAGGGCAGGAGAACGGCCTCTCCCCTGTGTGCCTGCGCCAATGAGTTTCCAACTCAGAGGGGGATCTGAATCCCTCCTCACAGTCTCCACATTTCCATGGTTTCTCTCCACTGTGAATAGTGCTTTTTCTTTCCATATTAAACATTCAACGATATGGATGTTGTATCGATCCCTGATGTGATGTATTCTTTTAGCTTTGTGATTGCAAATCATCTCCTTCGAATACTCTGTAAAACTGATTGAAAACAAAAAAATGGAGTGAGAGAGAACCAACAGAAAACACAAAGCAGATTGTGAAGTACAGCTGAATGCATCTCGTCATTTGTGCAGCTAGCACAAGGAGAAGTGACATATAAGCTGTGGGATTGTCATACAAACCAAACCAAGTTACTGATGTCCATCAGGGAAGGGAAGCTGCCACCCATCCAACCAATAGTTAGGTCTGGCCTTCTGGGAGGAGGGTTGGGGGAGGGGGAGGAGAGAGGGAGAGAGAAAGAGAGCGAGAGAGAGAGAAATGCTGGTGTTGAAGCTAAATTGTTGTTGGTGATTTGAATGGACATCACCATGCCTTTATCAGCTCTGTGTAATAATCCTATAACTCCTTACCTAACAACATAGTGGGAGCACCTTCACCCACATACAGCAACAGTTCAAGAAGGTCAAATGTCATCTATACTAATGAGTCCCTCTCATTATTCTTAGATCTGAATGTCACTAATGTGTGTGTGCAAAGTAAAACTGATAGCACCCTCGGCAATACTTGTCCTTGAAACAATGTCCTGTTACTTTTTATGGACAGTGTCAATTTAGCAACCTGAACTCCCCTAGAATCTCTCTCCCTTTAACAATTTCACACTAGACATTGCAGTCCTTGGGGCTAACCTCAGCAGCTTCTCCTCCATCTCCACTCCAGCTGAAACAGACGGAAAAAGACTTTCAAAAGGGAATTGCATACATTCCTACAATGAAACATAAATTGTTGGTCTACGAGGAGAGGGCTGGGAATATATTTCATGGTGTGTAGAATACATTATAGATAATATTAAAAAGTGCAGAAATTGATAGTCATTAACTTCAGAAGTGGAAGAGAAATGGGCTGTGGCACAGGACTAAAAAATTCCTGATTTTTAAAGGATCCTGTGGGAAGTTCAAGCTGGTAAATCAGCAAGTACAGGCAGCTGTGGAAATCTGACCAATAAAATACTAAACATGAGTAAGATAGCCCCATTGTTAGAGACGGAGGAGGTTAGACAATGTCAGAGAGATGATCAGGGAGGATAGAGGTGAAACACAGCAATAGATGGACATAAATTCATCGAGATGTATAGCACAGAAACAGAACCTTTGGTCCAACTGGTCCATGTCGACCAAATATCCTGACAATCTGCATTTACACGGCACAGCACACCTCCCACTCAACCATGGCCATCAAGCCAGGGGATCAAAGCTGATTCTACTGAGGGTGTGCCAGAAGCAGCTACAGACATACCTAAATAGGAGTTGGTCAACCTGGTGAGGCCACCAACAGGACTACCTGCATACCAAACAGCAGAAGCAGCAAGTGATAAACACAGGTAAGCGATCCCATAATCAACGGATCAGATCTAAGCTCTGCAATCCTGGCACGCACAGCTGTGAGTGGTGGCAAATAACTCACTGCAAGAGGAGACTCCATAAATATCCCCACCCTCAATTATGGAAGATTCCAACACATCAATTCAAGTGATAAGGCTGAAACAATTGCAGCAATCTTCAGCTAGAAGTGCCAAATGAATGATCCATCTCAGTGTCCTCCAGGCTTTCATAACATCACAGATGCTAGTCTCCAGGCAATTCAATTCAATTCATCCTATGCGTTAGAATTCCTAGTTAGAATTACTGAATTCTGAAAAGACTATGGGCCCTGACAACATTCCAGCAATAGTACTGAAGAACTGTGCTCCAGAACTTGCCACTCCCCTAGTCAACTGTTCCAGTAGAGTGACAACAGGGGCATCTTCTCGACAGTGTGGAAAATTGTCCAGAAATAGCCTCTACAGAAAAATCAGGACAAATCCAACCCAACCAATTACTGCTCCATCAGTCTACTCTCCATCATCAGTAAACTGATGCAAGGCATCATCAACAGTGCTATCAAGCCACACCGACTCAGCAATAACCTGCAGAGTGATGCCAAGTTTGGGTTCCAACAGGGCTACTCAGCTCCTGACATCATCACAGCCACAGTTGAAAAATGGACAAAACAGCAGAATTCCTGAGGTGAATTAAGAGTGACAGCCCATAAACTAAAGGCTGCATTTGCATGAGTGTGGCATCAAGGAGCGCAAAAAAATCTAGACTCATTGGGAATCAAGGGCAAACTGTCCGCTGGTTGGAGTCATACCTGGCATATAGGAAGGTGGTTGTTGCTGTTGGAGATCAGTCATCTCAGCTCCAGGGAATGTCTGCAGGCATTCCTTAGTATAGTGTCCTAGGACCAAACATCAAAGACATTCCATCCATCAAACAGTTAGCAGTGGGGATGTTTCCCCAATGATTGCACAATTTTCAACACCCATTCAAGTCTCCTCATAAACTGATGTCCATCTTCAAGTGCAACAAGATGTGAACAATATCTGGACCTGAGCTGACAATTTGCAAATAACATTCACACTACACAAATGCCAGGCAATGACTATTTCCCATAGGAGACAATCTAACCACTGGCCCTTGATATTCAGTGCGCTACCATCACTGAATCACCACTATCAATGTCCTTGGGATTGCCGCTGACAATAAACTCAACTGGACGAAATACAGTAGCTACAAAATCAGGTCAGAGCCAGGAATACTGCAGCAAGAATTCACCTGCTGACTCCCTGAACTTGCCTGGATGGGTGCAGCTCCAACAACACTCAAGAAGCTTGACACCATCCAGGACAAAGCAGCTCACTCGATTGGCACCACATCCACAAGCATCCAGTCCCTCCACTACCAATACTCAGTGGCAACAGTGTCTAACATCTACAAGATGCGCCGCAGAAAGTCATCAAATATCCTTAGGCAGCACCTTCCAAATGCACGATGACTTCAATCAAGAAGGACAAGGTCAGCAGATACATGGAAATGCCTGTAAGTTCCTCTCCAAACCACTCAACATCCTTACATGGAAATATACTATTATTCCTTCACTGTTCCTGGGCCAAAATCTTGAAATCCCCTCCCTAAGAGCATAGTGAGTCTACCTATAGTACATGGACAGCAGCAGTTCAAGTAGGTAGTTCACCACCACCATCTCAGGGGCAACTAGAGATCGTCAATAAATTCTAGCCAGCCAATGACACCCAGATCCCATGACAAAATTGTGTAGATTATCAACAGCAACAGAAACAGATCTCGATGAAATAGGTTCACTCCCGAATTTGATTCACAGTGAAATCCAATCACTAGAGTTACATGTGAACTCGTTGGGGTCTCAGCAGGCTGGCCGACCGAGTGAATACGTTCCCACACACAGAGCAGGTGAACAGATTCTCTCTGGTGTGAACTCACTAATGTGCTGTGAGTTGAGATGAAAGCCTGAACCTAGTCCCTCAGCAAAACACCTATTTGCATCCCAGTGACATCACCCTAGTCTCTGCTAATCTGCTGTTAAAACTCTTGTCCACTTCTTTGTTACCTCTAGACTTAAGTATCCTAACACACTCCCAGCCAGCCTCCCACATTCAAACTCCCTGTAATCTCAAGAATATCTAAAACTCTGCTGCCCAAGTGCTCACTTGTACCAAGACTTGTTCACCCATCACCCCTGTACTCCCCCACCTAAAAAGGCTCATATTTAAAAGCAACATTTTAAAAATCTCACCCTTGACTTAATTCCTGCTGTTTATTCATCTTCAATTAACTTCATCCCTACCTCCCCACACCACACAACTTTCGAGGTCTCAACAACTCATTTAGTTTCAGACTCCAAAGCTTCTGCAGTCTACTTTCCTCCTTTAAGATATTTAGCAATGCTTTTGGTCACTTGACCTAATATCTCCATCTGTGGCTCCACAATATTTTTGTGAAATTAGAAACATGACAAAAATACAAGTTACTGTCTAGACATATATCGTAACTCTTCAGCATCGTTGGGTGAATGATCTGTAAGTCCTTACCTAATTGCATTGTGGGAGCACATTCACCAAAAAAATTGCAGCAGTACAAAAAGGTCAAACATGACCTTCTCCACAGATCACAGGGCTTTGCCAATAATTGCTGGTATCTGTGAAAGGAGAAACAGAGTTAACATTTCAGGTATGCAAAATGAATTGCAGGGATTGAAAACAGTACAGAACTTGATGGTGAGAAATAGACTCCCCCACTGGAAAAATAATTCCTGACTGTGAAAGAGATATGCGCAGATGAATCTGGTAAGACAGCAGCACATGGTCAGAGGATGGATAGCAGTGGAAAAGTAATTTATACAAAGGTCTGCAAAACTAACAGTAAAATAATAAATAGTTAGAATGCACCCATTTATTACAGCAAGTCAGCTATTGACAAAGAGTTGATCAGGGAGCACAGGGGTGAATCAGAACAGTGTTCAGTGTTATGATCCCAATTGTATGAATACTGGACAAATGGATATATTTTGATAGATCAAAATCTTTAAAATAAGGCTTCATAAAGTAAGGCTGCAATAGGTAACTTGGAGTTCTCCTACAATGACAAGAATGTCGCTTCCATTAAACATCTGAAGTATAACAGCAGCAATTATACTGCCTGAAGCCAGTTATTTGCTTCAGTTCTTCACCAGCGTCAAATGCCTCTCCCAGGAAATACAGGCTGGATCTCTGTCTGCGGAAAACACAGACAGCTACGCATGCGCTCTGCTGCAGTTTGCCGTCCGCAGTATTGGCGGCGGCGCACGCGCGTAGCGGACAGCTGCCCGCAGTAAAGATGGTGGCGGTTACCAAGGCCGATGACTGCCTGAGGCCCGGAGGGGTTTTCGCGTTTGCTATTAAAACGGGACCGGGATATTAAAACTTGTGTTTTTCGATGCGCACTAAGTATTGTTGAAATCTTTCAGATTAGTCTAACACCACTTCCCTCCCGCTTTCAGTTTATTCCCTTTCTTTACCTTCCGTACGAGCCGAGGGCTTCAATCACAGTGATACTGTGGTTGCAGTCAAAAACGATCACGTGGCTTGTACTAGTCCCACCTCCTCACCCGCTCCGATTGGTTGGAGGACAAGCCGCCTGCACTTGGTCCTCCGGCCCCGCCCCCTTTCCTCCTATTGGGCCAGAGCTGACATCAATCACATGGCTGCCCATGGTGACCTCGAGCATGTGCAGTACTTCCTTTTTTTGGTTTTTCTGATTCGAAATGTGTCGGTTTTGCTGAGTGTTCGTATCACAAAACCATAACATACAGGAGCAGAATTTACACCCTTCAATTTTGGCTGATATGTTAGAGCAAATTACAAGCATCTGCAAGTTTGCTGACGACACCACCGCAGTATGATGGATATCTAACAACCACAAGTGAAAATACAAGAAGGGAGATAAAGGACTTGGTGACGTGGTGCAATGAAAACAACCTCCCTCTCAACGTCAGCCAAACTAAAGAACTGATCATTGACTTCAGAAAGAAAGGAGGCCCCTATCTAATCAACGGAACTGAGGTTGAGAGAGTGAAGAACATCAGGTGGAGTGATGATAACCGACAACTTGTCTTGGACTTCCCACTTAGATGCAACAGTCAAGAAGGCAAAACAATGCCTCTTCTTTCTGAGCCAACAAGGTGCAGGGCTGGATGAACACAGCAGGCCAAGCA